TAGCTAAATGGATGGACCATGAGACCATACTCTTAAGTGAAATAAATCAGACACACATATGTTTAAATACTGCTATTTCTCTGGTGTGAGAAACTGAAAGTGGAAATAAGGACTAAAATATATAATAGATATTGGGGAATGGGAAGAAAATGTTCAAATGAGAAATGAAACAAGGGAGGGCAAGGGGAAAGGAAAGCAGGGACAAGAAAAAAAGAATAGAAGGAAAAATGGAAACAAAGCTCTTGTAAATAAGAAGGGGAAGAGGGGTTGAAAGGAGGGACGAATGGGAAAAAAAGAAGGAAGATATATCATGTACAGGTATAAATTCTCTATGATGAATGTTATCATTATGCATATCTAAAATGTACCAATAAATATTTTGCAAAAAATGTATAAACAGTTAAAAAAAAAAGAAAAGGCATTTGTTAAAATTGGTACCCATTTATTACTAAAACTGTCAAAAAACTATGTAAAGAGAACTTTCCCATGTAAAGAAGATCCCCAAGTGGATGCCTGAAACTGAGTATTAGTGAACCTTATATACTATCTTATTTCCTATACAAACCTCTGATAAAGTTTAATTTATGTTAGGTACAGTATGATAAACACCAATAAATAATAATAGAAGAATTATAACTATATAGTACATTTAAAATTATGTGAATATAGTCCCTCTCTCAAAATATTTTATTGTATTGTACTATATATTCACCCATCCTCTTGTCATATGAGATAATACAGTGATTATATGCTGATATAAAATTTGATAAATGTCAGAGGCATTGTGAAGTAGTTATGCTACTACATAAGGGTTATTTGAACACAAACATTCAATATTGATACTTCCACATTCAATCTAATAACCAAGACAGCTATTGAGTGACTAACTGGTGGGTATCTAACTATATTGATTGATGGACAACAGATGATTCATATGTTAGGTTGGGCAAAGTGGGACATTTTAAGTTTTCATCATGCTACTCAGAACAACATGCATTTGAAAAGTTATGAATTATTTATTTCTGGAACTTTATATTTAATATGTTTAGGATTGTGGATAAACATGAGTAACTGAAACAGTGGAAAGTGAAACTCTGGTTAAGGGGGGGACTACTATACTAAACAATAATGACAACAAGAATACAACCAGAAATGTGTAAAGGCAATATATGAATACTAATTGTGGTTACACAGATTAGCAACAAACTAGAAAAAGACAAAATTTAAATCCTACTACTGGGCTGGAGGTATAACTCAGTAGTGCATGCTCAAGGCTCTGGGTTTAATTATCAGCACATGCATGTGCGTGCGCATGCACACACACAAGCCTACAACTTGCAATAGTATCAAAAATATTAAATCTTAGGGATAAATGTAACAAACAAGGTGTAAGACCTCTAAACTAAAAATAGTAAAATACTACTTATAGGAATTAGGAAGCGAACCAAAATGGGAAGCTATAATATAGTTATATACCAGAAGGCTCAATAATGATAACACATTGGTTCTCACAAACAAAAACTCTTATTTATTTAAAGAAGTCAAGAACTTGATTCTAAAATGTATTTGAAAAGAAAATTACCTACAATAACCAAAAAAAAATATAGTTGGAGGACTTACTGTAACTGACCTCAGGACTCATTATAAATTTATAATAATCACAGACCAGGTAATATTGTCACTAAGACTTAAAATGAATCAACAAAGAAGAATACAGAATTCCAAAACAAACTGACATGAATATGATCAAATAATCTTCTATGATCATCAAACCAATTCAACAAATGGTGATGGAACAAACTGATATCCATATGGATGAAAATTCATCCTTGAACTGTATCTCACATTATAAATAAAACTTAACAACAGATGGACCAGAGAACTAATGATAAAAACAAAATATACACAAAATTCTTAGAAGAAAATGCAGGAAAATAAAATCACAATCTACTATAGATGAATATTTGTGAGATCAAAGAACTAATTATAAAAGAAAAAAATTACCTGGACTTCATCAAAACTAAAAACTCATGCCCATGAAAGGGCACAAAAATGAATACACAAGTCATATATTAGGGGAAATATTTGCAATGTGTACATTGAACAAAAGAGTCCTATTTAAAAATATAAAGAATTCCCAGTATTCAATGAAAAATATATACTACCCAATTAAAGAAATGAATAAAACACTTGAACAAACACTTCCAATGTCAAAAGCACTTGAAAAGGAGCTGGGGATTTAGCTCAGTGGTGCCACTGCCTGCCTTGCAAGTGCAAGGTCCTGAGTTTGATCCCTGGTACTTAAAAAAACAAAAGCACTTGAAAAGTTTTAATATCATCAGTAATAAGAGAAATATAAATTAAACTGCAAAGATATACGATCAGAATGACCAAAATGAAAATATTAATAATGTTAAATGAAGAAGAGAAAGTGGGGCAATCAAAAGTCTCATACATTGCAGTGACACAGTAACTTAAAAACTGGCTGGTTTGTTTTTTTTTTAAAGTTAAACATATGCCTGTCTTACAAATCAGCAATATCAGGGCTAGGTGTTTACTGAGGAGGAATAAACACATATGTCCACAAAAAGATTTTTATAAGAATGTTTATAGCAGCTTTATTCACAATAGTCCCAAACTGGAAACATCTCAAATTTCTATTACAGGAGATAAATAAATAAAATAGTATATTTGTACAATTGATTACATTCCAATTAAGCTGAATGAAAAAAGAGAAGGTCTAGAATAAACAAAACTAATGTGTGTTGGTAAAAGTCACAGGTGTAATTATCCTAGAGGAAGAGATCTGACATGGATGAGGCCTATAGAATTTAATGGGTCAATGGAAATATCCTTAAGATATATTGTTTTCGCGCCAGGGATTTAGCTCAGTGGTTCCACTGCCTGCCTCGCAAGTGCAAGGTCCTGAGTTCCATCCCCGGTACCAAAAAAAATAAAAAATAAAAAAAAATTCTAAAAAGATATATGGTTTTCTACTTCTGTCAGAACTCAAAGGACTTTACATTTAAGATCTTTATGTACATCATACCTACAAAGCCTGGAATGGATCCTTGGTAAGGTAGTCAATATTTCTAGAGACACAAGGCAAAGGAAAAGATTTAAATGGGAAGTAATACTCAAAACTAAAATTTATATTTCAGGAATATGAAAGGCAGCCATGTACACATACTTCACAGATCTCAGCCTTTAAAAAAGATCAGTATTAGGATGACTACTATCAAAAAACCCCACTGGGTAGGGTGGTAGAGTGGTGCACACTTGTAATCCCAGCAGTTTAGGAGGCTGGGTGACGGAAAAGGATTGAAAGTTCAACCCCCCACCCCCAAAAAAGAAAGTTCAAACCCAACCTGGGCAACTTAGAAACTTAGCAAGACCCTGTCTTAAAATTTAAAAATTTAAAAGTGTGAGGCATGTAGGTCAGTGCAAAGTCCAATCTCCACCACAAAACAAAAACCTAGGATATTCTGGGCAAAGTGGCACATGCTTTTAATCCCAGCTACTTGGGAAGCAGAAACAGGAGGACTGCAAATTCAAGATCAGCCTGGGCAGCTTAGTGAAACCTTGTCTCAAAATAAAATTTCAAAAAGGGTTGGGGATGTAACACAGAGGTAGAGTGCTTGCCTAGCACAAGTGAGGCCCTGGGTTCAGTCTCCAGTAGTGAAAAACAGTAACAAAACAAAACACAATCCTAGAAAATAACAAGTGTTAGTGAAACTGGGCAGCAATTGGAACCCTTGTGTACTAAGGTGGTAATATAAAATGGTGTAACAACTATGGAAAACAGTATGATAACGTCATAAAAATTAAACAGAATTCCTATATGATCCAGCAATTCTACTTTTGGATACATATCTAAAAGAAGTGAAAACAGAGACTCACAGTGATATCTGTACACCCATGTAGCAGCGGCATTATTCACAACAGCCAAAAGATGGAAGGAACCCACATAATCAATAGATGATGAATAAGCAAAATGTATATTTATAAAAAGATGTATATATATACAATGGAATATTAACTAGCCTTAAAATGGAAGGAAATTCTGACATATGCTACAACATGAATGAACTCTGACGATTATGTTACATGAAGCAAGCCAGTCAAAAAAGTACAATTACTAAATGATTCCACTTACAAGAAATACTTAAGGTAGTAAAATTTACAGAAACATAAAGTAGAATGGTAGTTTCCAGGGGCTAGAAGTTTGGGTAATGGGAATTTATTGCTTAAATAGTACAGTGTTTCAGTTTTGCAAGATGAAGAGTTCTAGAGAAGGATGGTGGTGATGATTGCGAAACACTGTGAATGTACTTAATGACACTGAAATATATGCCTACAATTGTTTAAAATGGCAAATTTTAGCTGAGGGTATTGGCCCACACCTGTAATCCCAGCACTCAGGAGGCTGAGACAGGAGGATCGCTTCAAGTTTGAGGCCAGCCTGGGCTACACAGTGAGTTTAAGGCCAGCCTGAATTATAAAGTAAGATCCTGTCTCAAATAAAACAAAAAAAAGTGGCAAATTTTATATTATATACATTTAAAAATATATAGATTTCTAAAAACATCTTTGAAAGGATTTTTTTCTTTTTTTTCTTTCCTTTCCTTTTTCTTTTTGCAGTCCTGGGGAATGAACCTAGGCCTTTCATATTGTGGTATATCCCCAACCATTTTTTATTTTTAAAATTTTGCTTTTGCAGTTTTTTGGTTTTATTTTGGTATCGGGGCTCAAACTCAGGGCCTTGTGCTTGTGCAGCAGGTGGTGAAACCACTGAGCTAAATCCCCAGCCCTATTTTTAAAATTTTGATACAGGGTTTTGCCAAGTTGTCCAGGCTGGGCTTGAACTTGGGATCCTTCTTTCTCAGCCTCCCATAGTGCTGGCATGAACCACTGCACCAGGCTGAAGGGATCTGTTGTTTTTTTTATTGTAAACTAGCTGAGATTTAAAGTCCACTACACATTTATCTGTACAGACTTACTCAGGTAGCTCTGACTTGGAAAAATTCTCTCTGTCCATAGCTCTTCTCCTTGTTCCAACTCGTGGATTGTTTCAGGGTTAGTTATGTGAAACCCTGATAATGAAAAATGAAACTTGATCTAAGCAGTTTATACTTCAAACTAAAAAGAAGAGAGAGATTCAGCTTCAAGGTGGCAGATAAGATACACATTAATTTACTACCAAAGTTAATACTTTGTAATATGCAAGTGAGGGTATCTCTTATGTTCTGTTAATAAAGTGATTCATCACCTCTGATCACTGAACTTCAAAGTTTCTTATTTTTCAGAGATTCTTAAAAGGAGACACATAACATTGAAATATTCAGAGTGTTCCCTTACCCATAGAGATGAAGTGGCAATAGTTTTCCAACATCACATCCATGTAGAGGGCCTTCTGAGCTGTGTCCAGTTGCTGCCACTCTTCCTCAGTGAAGTCCACAGTCACATCCTTCAATGACACTGATCCCTGTAAGGGCATACTCTAGTTCATCCTGAAGTGATCGGAAATGGGCGAGAACTAGACACTGGAGACCTAGTTCTGACAATGCGAAGTGGTCAGACTAGTTTTCTTTTTTTTGGTACCGGGTATCGAACTTGGGACCTTGTGCTTGTGAGGCAGGCGGCAGAACCACTGAGCTAAATCCCCGGTCCAAGACTAGTTTTCTTATATTGTGTCTTATAGAAGCTTCTCTCTATGCAAATGCATTCATCAGTATTACTATATCATTCTAAAATATATACACTGATATCACAATATCTTTCTGAATGTGACTGGTTGTCTGATGACCAAAATTAATAAAATACTGATCCTACTCATGAGAAGTTACAGGCTAAGAAAGAGGAATAAATGAAAATAGATGGACTCAACAGGTATTACAGATATAAAGATGTATGTACCAGGAGAAAGTGTCACAAACCAAAGAAATATTTCATTTAGTACTCTGAGGTTTCATTGAGGACATAAAAATTTTGTACTCACAATAAATTTGTTTTGAAGGAATACAGGGCATTAGCTTTTAAAAATTCATGGGGAGAAGAAAACCAGCTAGCAAATTCAGGAAACAGCAAAAGGCACAGTATGTTAGGAATGGATTTGAGCTCTAAAAAGGAAAAGGTATAGGGGAAGGTAGGCAGTGGGATATGATAGAATAATACTGGATTGTTTTCCCTCAAAGCACTATTTTAAAAACGTACTTAGCACATTTCCAACATATTCACAAATCATCATTGGGTGTTAATGGTAACTTACATTGTTAATGATTACTATGGTATTATTATTATTATTATTATTATTAAGATTACTGGAATTGAGAATTGAATTGATGGCCTTTTCATTGAGCCATTTATTTTTTATTTTGAGACAGGGTCTCACTAAAGCACTAAGTTGCCCAAGCTGGGCTGGAACTTGCTATCCTTCTGCCTCAGCCTTCCAGAGTGCTAGGATTACAGACATGGGCCACCATGCCTGGATTCCATGATTATTACTCTTGAACAGAAATGGTTAGTATTTTTTTCTCTGCCAATATATTGTCTTGTACAGTTCACTGTGATACATGCCCCTCTTTGGGTCTGCTGCTTAAGGAGTATGAAGAATATAAAGAAATGTAAGTCAAACACATGTTATGTGATAACATTTGTACATTAGAGGCAATACTCTTATAGACTGAAGAAAGCTTAAGGTGTGCTGGGTGAAAAAGACAGTTAAGAGTATTATGAATATTAGTGATTTTGAGTATTAACAGGCTGACAGAGAATAACTGGTTTTTGTGTGATGACGTGTGACAAAAATTGGTCAGAAATTGGTGTAGAGTGAAAAAAGAGAGGCACAGCTCTTGCTTTTATCTGCATAGCCAAGTGTATGGGTTCTGGGACTAGAAAATGAAGATGACAAATAGAAGAAAGAATACGCTGGACCAAAAGAGGTAATGAGGTAAACCTTGGAATATACTTGAAGTGTCTACAGAACATATAGGTGGTGCTAACTATTGGACGTTGAATATATAGTTCTGACACCCTGTCAAGAATGGATAGAGGTATCTGAGAGTCACTACAATCAGAGTACATGTAGCCTTCACAGTGACTCTTATACAGTGAATCTGGTTGTATAAACAAAAAGAAGCTGTGAAGAGAAGAGAACCAATTAGTGGATGGGGAAGCCATTATTTTATTATATTATTTATTTATTTATTGTTTGTTTTTTTTGGTACCGAGGATCAAACTTGGGACTTTGTGCTTGCGTGGCAGGCACCGGAACCACTGAGCTAAATCCCCAGCCCAGAAGCCATTATTTTAAAGGATGAGAGATGAGGAATTTTCTGAAAGAAAGATGACAACAGGACAAAGTACCATCTTGAGTCAAGAGTAGACTAGCATATGCATCTCCTCTTGCACACATAAAATCAGAAGAAATCTAGGCATGGTGCTGCACAACTACTGTATAATCTAAGCACTTTTGGTGGCAGAATTGTGTTTGGGCAACTTAGTGAGACCCCGTCTCAAAATAAAAAGGGCTGGGGATGTAGCTCAATGTAAAGGCCCTAGTACCAGTGCCTCAGTATCATAAAAACAAACCAAAAAAAGAGAGAAGAAACTTAAAAGATAAGAATAATAAATTTACAAGAGCATTGGAATACTAGAAAAGGTTTTTACTGGCTGCCCATGATTTGTAGGAACTGGTGGCAGTAATGGATCAAACAGATCAAAGAGGATGAACGCAAAACTTCAGTTTTCTGTATGAGACCACAATCAAATCTCTATCCCCCAAACCTTACATAATAGGACATTTTCCCACAAACTAATAGTGTAATCTACACATTCCATCTCCCACCATATTATTGCAAAATTTAAATTACTGGAGATGAAAAAGGTTTTTCTATATGTGCTCTTTGACTACTTACAACTTAGATTTTATTTATTTATTTTATTTTTTTGGAGACAAGGTCTTGCTGTGTAATTCAGAGTGCCTTTGAACTCCTATCAAGCCCAGGCTGAGCTTGAACTTGCTGTGATCCTCCTGCCTCAGTCTTCCCAGTGCTGGAATTACAGGCATGTGCGACCATGCCCAGCTAGATTTTAAATCAGTGTGAAGGCAAGGTAGATTCCTTCAAGTAATGTATTTCTATTTAAATCAAGAAAATACTTTCTGTTCCAGTAGTCCACTGGTAAGAAGACTGAGAAAGGAGATGATAAATCTACCCAATCAATATGTGAACAATGATTATGAGTAGAAGGCTTAAATTTATCTGGTTGGAATGGAGAAACTGGGAACAGGGCTGTGAACAGGTTAAGGCAGCTTAAGCATGTAGGGTGCCAATGTTAGGAAGGAACAACCCTTACATATTGTACCTCATGCCGCTTGTTTGCTTCACTCCAATCTGAGCCCTGACCAGAGATTGTTTTATGAAAGTAAATCCCAGTAACAAGGAAATTTAAGCAAAACTGCCAAGCAAATGTTCGTATTCCCTGAAAAAAAGAGAGGAAACATCTCACCTTAGACATGGCTTCGAGTTTTGTAAGAAATGGACCTTCTCTTTTGATCTCTCCTTTTGGAAAACGGAAGAGTCCTACAAAGACAAAGATAGAGATATGAACCATGTGAGAACATATTTGACTTAGGTCTTTCAGAATAATTTAGTTAAATCTGCACTAATTTTCACTGTTTCAGGACTTGCCCTGCCGGTGTACACTTCAGAAATCTAGGACAGAAGTTAGTGAGTGTTCAATGGACAAATCCTGCCCTCATCACCACCTGACACCTAGTCTCTTGCTCAGATAGAATGGATTCTGGGGAACCTGTTGTAGCTTGCTTTTTCCATGGGTCACAGTTTTATTGTATATTTCCCAATTATTCTTTGTGGTCTTTCTATCAACTTATATTGTCACCAGCAGTACATGAGGATACCTTCCCATATCCTGACAAAATCGGTTGAGAACTTTGTATCTTTGCCTCTCAGGTCAATATGGAAGCTCTAAAGTATTCATATTTTATTCTTTTAAAAATGTTTAAAGATAGCACATGGTGGTGTAGCCGCACATGACTACAATCCCAGCTACTCAAGAGACTGAGGCAGGAGAATTGCAAATTTGAAGCCAGCCTGGGCAACTTGAAAAAAATAAAATATAAAAAGGGCTGCTGGGGATGTAGCTTGGCCCCAAGTTCAGTCCCCAGTACTGAAAATATATTAAAGATGTTCTTTATTTTCAGTAATGGCGTCTCTTTGACTGTTTTATTTTCTCATGAGTTTTTGTTTCCTAACTAATTCACATTCTATTTTGTTTTGCTTTGTTTTGTTTATGATGCTGGGGATCAAATCCAGGACCTTATGCATACTAGGCAAGGAGTCTACTATTGACTTATACTCCTAGCCACTATGTTCTATTTTATTAAATTTAGCAAATCAATTCTTTATTCATTTAAAATTGTAAATAATTTTTATTCATTTCTCATACAATTACTAAAGTATCTTTGCCTTGTGAAGATTTTTTCCCCCTTTGGGTTTTGTCTAGAAATATCACATATTGTTCTTTTTTTTTTGGTACTGGGGATTGAACTCGGGTCCTTGCGCTTGTGAGGCAGGCGGCAGAACCACTGAGCTAAATCCCCGGCCCAACCACATAATGTATTATGCACATTTCCTCAACTGATGGGAAATGCCATCTTTATCATATATTAATTTCCCTATATGCTTGAGAACATCTGGATTTTCTCTTTCTCTATTTCATCTTTTTATTGATTCACCTGTATCATACAACATAAGAAGTATAGTTAGCCTGTAGTTCCAGAACTTTTGGAAGCTGAAGCAGGAGGATCACAAGTTTAAGTACTACTTGGGCAATTTAGTGAGACTCTGTCTCAAAATTAAAAAAATATAAAGAGCTGAGGATGTAACTCAGTACCTCTCAGTTTGATCCCCAGTACCCCCCCACAGAGGCATAGTTATTGAAATTAAGTGTTAATATTAATTTATTAATAGTTAATTTAAGGATTAAACATTGGGTAATACTTTTTAGTGGTATAGGTATAGAAACAGAAAAGAAACTGATCAGACATTCTATTCTGTAGGCTTCCAGGCACAAGGGACAATATTTTTCTTTTTTTTTTTTTTGGTATCAGAGAACGAACTTGGGAGCTTGCACTTGTGAGGCAGGCGGTGGAACCACTGAGGTAAATCCCCAGCCCTACTTTTCTAAATGAAATCTGAAATACTTACTGCTACAGTGAATATTTAGTTATCAAAACAATTATTTTAAGTATTAAAATGAGACTGACTTTGCAATTAAAAGTGTACCAAATACTTGTAGTTATCTTAGAATGCCTGAAGAAGCTATTGGCCTTGTCACTGATTTTATCTGGGAGTGGGAAAATTCACTTACATAGAAGAGAAAGTGATAATTATGGGTAAACATTTACTGGTTATTTTCTGCTTGTTCCCCATGGGATACTATTCAACACATTCATTTTAGTTAATATAAAGTTTCTCACCATCTGGGAATTACGAAAATCTCACCTATTTCTTTCCAATATTTATATCTCTATTATTTATTTATTTACTTACTGTGGTACTGAGGATTGAACTCGGGGCTTTCCCACAGAGCTACATCCCCAGCCTTATTTATTCATTTATTTGGTTGGTTGGTTGGTTTTTTGAGACAGGGTTTAGCTGTGTAGTTCTGGCTGGCCTTGAATTTGAGATGATCCTCCTGCCTCAGCCTCCCCAGTGCTAGGATTACAAGCATGTCCCACTATGCCTGTTTAACCCCAGCCTTTATTTTTATTTTGAGACAGACAAAATCTCACTTAATCCCTAAATTGCTCAGGCTGAGCTTGAAGCTGTGATATTCAACTTCAGCAGATATTGAGTCTGTCTCAGGCTCCCAAAGCACTGAGGTTACAGGTGTGTGCCACCATGCCAGGCTGTGGCTTTGCTAAATTGCTACCCAGTTAAATTTTTGGAGGCAGCCTTAATGGGTATTCAGATTGTCAAATATTACACAACTAGACGTGGTTATACAGAGTTCCTCAATTGTTTAAATATTAAGGTTCGCATGGCTCCAAAACCATCAGAAATAGCAATATGATAAAACACATGCACCGTCATAATCAAAGATCCTTCAGAAAATCACCAATCCATAGTTGCCACTTGTCATTCATAACAACTATATATAGCATATTATACAATTCCAGGCAGCCACAGTCACATTCACAATCACTTTCATTTCTCCATATACACTTCAAAAACGATTCACATCTAATCTAAAAATAGATACAAGCTGAGCACACCTATAATTCCACCACTCTGGGAGACTCAGGAAAATCTCCAAGTTTGAGCCACGCCTGGGAAATTTAGCGACTTAGCCAGACCCTGATTCAGAATTAAAAAATTTAAAAAGGGCTGGGGATATAGCTCAGTGAAAAAGTCCTGAGTTCAATTCCAAAGAAACAAACCATCAAAAACAGATGCAGCGGAAACTCTATGCAGCAACACGACCTTTCACACAGTCGGATCCCACATCCCAAAGAGAAGCACTCACCCAAAACACAGTGGGTTGGCACAGAATATCCGTCTGTCTGTCTGTCTCTCTATGCAGTGGTCGCTGTATGTAGGGGATCCGCCCTCTTCTCTCTTCCTACCCCCGAGACAGCGGTTCTCGCGGTCAAACAGGCAAAATCTCCTTTCACAGGGTTCGCTCCAGGTCACAGGTGAGCATCCTCAGGGTCACCACCCGAACCACACCTGAGGCCCAGCTTGTAACACATCTGATCGTCTGTATACCGCAGTCCTACGTCCCTCCCCAGAATTATCAGTCCCCGTTCTGATTCCCGGATTTCTCCCGGGCCTCCCCACCCGGTTCTGCTCGCGCAGTCTGCTCGCTCCGGCCGCAGCTCCCAGCTGACTCTTCAGGCTTCTCAGAGCCTACTAACCTCCACCCTCTAACCCCGCCTGGGCTCAGTCATCTGCGCCTGCGCACTCTAGCGGTGGGCTCCAGCTCCCAGGAGTCTCCGCGGCGGCCGGTTAGGAGCTGCACGATCCTCGCTGCTGTCTTTTCTCAGTTATACCAACGTCCGTGTGGTTCCTGCTTCGAGTACGTTTCTCCCGGACCCTCAGGCCTGCCAGTGAACTTAGACTTGGCTCTGTTTTTTCTGGCTTTAGGTCAGCTTTTTCTGAATGGTCAGTGGAGGTGTCCCGGCTGCGGGTATGAGAAGAATTCCCGGGCGGCGTGGAAGAGGCTTGTGGCGGCAGAAGCCTCAGGCTATTGAGGAGGAGGGCACTGGGATTGTGTGACTGCGTCAGTGTTGGGTGTGACTGTCAACTTGTGCGCGACTGAGAGGCTGATTGCGGAACAGTGGTTAGCAGTGAGATATGACGACATGATGCTAAGACACTGTGATGATAATTGGTCCAGTGTAGGTTGTTTTTGTTTTTCCCCAGTACTAGAGATCGAACCACCCAGGGGCGCTCTACCCCTGAGCTACATCCCTAGCCTTTTTAATTTTTATATTGAGATGGGCTTGCTAATTTGCTCAGGTGGGACTCCTTGTGCTCTTATTGCCACAGCCTTCCTCAGTGCTGGGTCTACAGGTGTGTGCCGCCACGTCCGATTTAGTATAGTTTTTTTTTTGTTTTTTTTTTGAGGGTAGAATTTCATTTTGGCAGTGCTAGATCTGAAGATTACGTGGACAGGATTCCCATATGATTGAGGAAGACTGAAGCTTCGTTCTAACACATGGCCTCTCTTGCTTTCATCAGTGCACTTTATCTTTTGACCAACGTAATGCTTAGAACACAGTAGACCTACAGTATAGCGTATCCCCTGGCCAATTGTAAATTCCGTGGTTTCTCGGAATTTGTTGCGCTGAGATTTCTTTGATTGCCTCTGTCACTTCTCCTTATAGCCACACTGTACGGCATTTAGTCAAATGGCTTTGGAAGGAGAAGTTGGATAATTGAGACCTAGAATGAAAAGTTCTAAGCATAGTCTTGTGTTCGGTAATGAAAATTGGAGCTGCAGTTGCCCCAAGGCAGAGTCCTGGGAAGACTGGATATTGAGGCTATAAGAGTAGGATTCTTTCTTCCAGTCATCCCTTTTAGAAGCTCTGTGGGGGCAATTGGCATATTACAGATCCACAACATTTTCACAGCTCTGTCTAAAGGAAACTGCTGTGAACAAAGAAACTGATGTCAGTGCCAGGCTTTGGTAAACCTGATGTTTCTTTATGTTATTGGGAAGGATCAGTGGTATTGCAGTCTCATATTTCCATCCGGGTATGTTTAATCTGGGTGATGAAGGCTTGCTTGTGGTGAAGATAGTGTATTTAGCTTGCCTCCAAGAAAGACTGGCTATTTTATGACCCTCTCCCCTTTTTAGACAGGGTCTCACTATGTAGTTTAGGCTGACCTTGAGCTCACAATGTCACCCAGGCTGGCTTCAAACGCTCAGCAATCCTGCCTCAGTCTTCCAAGTGCTAGGATTATAGGTGTGTGTGCGTCACCACATCCAGCTGCATGATTCAATTTTATTTCCACATTCCACACTTTGCTGTATTCCCAGAGACTTCTGAGAGGAGAAAAACATTGCATTTGCATATCTTAAAGCCAAGCTAGAGGTCGTTTTGACTTTCTTCTTTATAAAATGTCCTTTTGTTTTTCAGGAGGTAGAATGACTTCATCGGAAATGCCTACCCTAATAGTGTCTATTTACCTGGTCTCTAGGCCTTCTCTTCCCAGTTAATGATAGTATATGAAGACAGATCTTTTCAAGTATACCATCAAACATCCTTTCTAGAGTTAACTTTTACACTTTTTTTTTTTTGGTACTGAGGGATCAAACTCAGGACCTTGTGCCAGCAAGCCAGGCAGCGGCACCACTGAGCTAAATCCCCATCCTTCTAGAGTTAATTTTTATGTAACCGCTTAGGAGTACATTCATTTTCCCCATACTCTTTTTGTCTAAGCATTCTCATAGAAATGGTCATTTACGTGATGACTTGTTGAGACCAGTGGGGAAGTAGAGTTACACATCTGATACTTGAGATCTTCAAAGGCATGTGTAGAAAAATAGCAAAGTAGGAGATGATTTGATTGGTTTTAGTAAGTTTTGGATTTTGTCAATAAAAATTGTGGAAATTTGTTCTATCCTATCCTTGATTTTGCTTCTTGGCCTACAATGCCTAAATTAGTTACTATGCTATAGTATGTAAAAATTATTGGTTAGCTATTACATAATAACCTCATATCCAGCAACTTTGCTGAATTTAGTTAAAAATTCTAGCATTTTAAAAATAGATCTAGGGTTTTGTAAGTATGTTTCTTGCAAAAAGGGAGATTTTCTTATTTGTCAGTGTCTATATTCGTTTGTGTTGCCTTATTGTAATTACTGGGAATTACAACAGTGTTGAATGAAAGTAATGTTAACAGACATTGTTTCTGGGGTGGGGGGTAATTAGGGATTAAACCCAGGACTTTCACAATGAGCTACATCTCCAGCTCTTTTAAAAAATTATCTTGAAACAGAGTCTCACTAAGTTGCCCAGGCTGGGCCAGAACTGTGATCCTCCTGACCTGTCTCCCAGAGTGCTGGGATTATAGGCATGCATCCTCAAATTTAGCTTCTGTAGCCTTTTTTTAATCATAGGAGGACAATATTCAGTATTTCATCATTATACTTAGTTGGATATTGTGTTTTGTCAGATACATTTTCTGAATATACTAAAGTGATGATTTTTTGTTGTTCAATATGAATAAAATTAATTTTTGAATAAGTATATCTTGTGTTAATAGGTCATTTATATTTCTCTTTTATGTATTTCCAGATCAAATTTGCTAACATTTTAAAAGTTTTTTGCGTGAGGCTTTTGGTGTGATTTTTTTTCTCTTAAGATTCTCATCAGCCTTTGGTATGAGGGTAATACTGGTCTCCTAACTGAAGAAGACTATGAACTGTCTTCTCTATTTTCTTGGAAAGTTTGTATAAGGTTGGTATTATTTCTTCCTGAAATGTAAAATTCTCTACCTTCCTTAAAGATAGAATTTTCTGGTAAAACCATGTAGGCCTGCAGTTTTTTCTTTTGTAACAAATTTAATTTCTTTGATAGGTATCAAACTGCTGCTTCTTGCTGCACTATTTTTGCAAGAGGCATTCTGCCAGGTCCAAGTTGTAAGGTCTTTACATTGCCTTTTAGGAGCAGAATTTAAACTTTTGGTGAAGATCAATTTATCATTTTATTTCTTTGATAGGTTGTGTTTTTGGTGTAAAGTCTAAAAACACTTTGCTTAAGCCATGCATCTTTGGTGGAGTGATATGGCCCTGAGAGTGACAAAAATTTGTTCTGGGGGTAGAAGAAAACCATTCTTTATAATGTGTATATGTGTACACAGTTACAGATATTCAATATGTCTGTGGTATTAACATTTCTGGGGACATGAACATCAGTTGCTCTTCGCTATAGAAAGATTAAAGATGTATGGAGGTTTATGTTGTGTTTCATCAGGACTACAATGGCGTGGTCATTGATATAAAAGAATGATGCCTTCCTATTATGTTCCTAAATACAGTGAAAGCTAACTTCTTTTTACAAACCCAGTTAAGGAACAATGTGCAGTAGGTATTTAAGTGAGAGAGATAAGTAAAGCTATAATCAGCTACAAAGATGTATTAGTAACTATTTCCACAAAAATTTCAAGTAGCCAGTCCATAAAGATTAATACTGCATTTCCATTTTATAAACCAGCTTTCCCTTTGCAATAATGTTACAGGAAATAATACTGGAGATGAAATATGAAATATAGCTCCCAACCTGTTAACTGTACGATATACTGAGTTCTTGTTCTCTAGAAATTGAAAAATGAGTCCTAGGAATAATAGAGGTTAAGAGTAGAAAGATATTTATTGATACGAAAGCTCCTGAAGGGCAGGAGGTGTCCTGAGTGGGTAGCCCGGGGACCCCACTTTACAGAGGAGTTTTATAGGGTGAAATCCAGGTGGGCATAATGTGGGCCACAGCCATGAACATCCAATAAGGTTACAAGTATAGTCACTTAGGTGGTAATGGTGGTCCAGTTGGGAAACAAGTCCTGTAACAAGTGTGGATGGAGAAAACAAAGACTTCATTAGGCCCAATGTTTATTCTTTGAGGAAGTTTGTAGGTCTGGTCATCTTGTGTTTATCTTTAGGCCTGGTTTTCAGCTGATGTGTCTCCAGTACCTACTGTGGTGTGTTTCACCTTTGTCCTGACCCTCTTTTTTTTAAATTGATTTTTTATTAATAAATTTTATTAATTTATTATTAATTCCCTCCCTTCCCTGTGTACAAAAGCTTTGTCTCCATTTTTCCTTCTATTTTCACTTTTTTTCTTGTCCCTTCCTTTCTTCCTCCCTCCTCCCTTGTTCCCCTTCCCATTTGAATACTTTCTTCCCATTTCCCAACATCCATTCATTATACATCTCAGTCCTTATTTCACTGTGAGAAACATTTCAACATTAGAAACACTGCAGTATTTAAACATGTGTGTCCAATTTTTTTTTTTGGTACCGGGGATCGAACTCGGGTTCTTGCTCTTGTGAGGCAGGCGGCGGAGCCACTGAGCTAAATCCCGAGCCCTGTGTGTCCAATTTATTTCACTTAAAGAGTATGATCTCAAGGTCCATTCATTTAGCTATAAATGTCTGAAGCTCATCCTTTAAGGCAGACTAGTACTCAATTGTATAAAAAACCCACGTCTTCTTTATCCACTTGTGTCCGGATCCTTTTGAGGGACTAGCCTTATCTGACTGCCTATAATATTTCTACCTAGCTCATCTATAATGTTATTAGCAAATTGATTCACTTTGGTGTTTTTGGAAACTATTAGAAACATATACTAGAAAATATTGAATCCTTATGAAATTAACTCTACTTTTATCCAAAAGTTTTCTCTTGATTTTCAACTTTACTGCATACTTTTAAAGGAAAAGTAACTAGGTTGGGTTGCTGAAGTGGTTACTATTTAACTTGACCACTTTTTAAAGTTATCGCTATGATTTGATGAAGTCCACAATAAAAAAATGTTCTGTTATGTATCCAGAGCTGGAGATATAACTCAGTGATAGAGCATTTGCTTAGCTTACCCAAAGCTCTGTGTTGGATCTCCAATAAACTTTTAAAAGCTTAATTTGGAATTAGTGGAAACTTGCTTTGGTAACTAAGATATTTAAGGCTCAAAGCTAGTTAATAAAATTCATTCATTTTAGGATTTAACAGCAAAAAATAAATAACTATGAAGGGGTCAGTGGTTGGCCTTAACTATGCTAATTGGTATATGGTTACTCTCATTTGAGATGGAAGTAAGGTGGGCATGGTAGTGCGTGCATGCCTGTAATTCCAGCACTGTGGGAGGGTGAGGCAGGACCTAGACTGAAAGTTCAAGCCCAGCCTGGGCAACTTAGTAACTTAGTGATACCCTGTCCCAAAAATTTTAATAAGGGCTGGGGATGTTGCTCAGTGTGAAAGCCCTGGGTTCAATCATCAGTACAAAAAAAAAAAAAGAGAAAGAAAGGGTATGCTTTGATACTGAAATGATGGGGTCTTTTGACCCCGAGGCAGTAGAAATGAGACTGGGCCAAATATTACAGGCACAAACACTCCAGCACAGGAAAAACTTTATGGGAGAGGGGGAGAGGGTCTTCAGCCAAATGGCAGCTTTGTTTGTTTAGTATATGTGCTGCTGAAGCGAGCATGACAGCTTCATTTGTTTTGTTTTGCAATACTGGGAATTGAACTCAGGACCTTCACACTGAACTATATCTCCAGGTACTCCCCCCCCCTTTATATTTTTAAATTTTGAGATAAAGTCTCCCTTAGTTGCCCACACAGGACTTGAATTTGAGATCCTTCTGCCTCAGCCTCCCAGAGTGCTGGGATTACAGGTGTGTGCCATCATCCCTTACTCCAAACTAGGGTTTTGGCTCCAGGGAGCAACAATTGGTCCAGAGAGTGACCAAGCTACTGCTCACCATAGAACAAAAAGAGCAGGTTTTTATGGATTTGTTGGGGGTGGATTAGAGTCCAGTAATTTTCACTGGCCAGGGGCATGGTTTCAAAAGGTGTTCTTTCCTGTGCTGAACACAGAACACTTGGGGGTCCTAGTCAACTTGTCCTAGAGGCTGCTGAATTTTAGTTAATTGTGTGCCATCATCCTGTGCCTTATACTTGCTGCGCTAACAAGCAGCTGGCTTTGCTCAGAAACTGCTGAGTTCCTCTCTCAACTGCTGGCATCATCCTGCATACATGTCCTGGCCTTATGATAGGGCTGAAGGACTTTCAGGGTTTGAGCTGCCTGAGAAAGCACAAAGCTGGAGTAGAAGAAACACAGACCAGCTCCAACTGGCAGGAAGCCAAGCTATAGTAGAGTTTCGGACAAAACATTTCTTAAATGATCAACATATCTACATGCAGACCTGAGCAGAATCTGACCAGAGGGTTAAGACAGGAAAGGGGACAGGCACAAAATGAAGACAGAGATGCCAAGCCTTTTATCCCATTTTAGTCATCCATCAGATAATCTTTAAGCCCGAGTGAAGGGTCAGTGTTTTCACTAAAAGTGGACCTCAGGTCCAGGAAGAGTAACCCTGGCACTCTTACATAACCCACACATCAGGAGTGCTATCTACATCAAAAGCAGTGGGAAACTTAATTATGTATTGCCCAGCTGT